AAAAACAGAATATTCTGTACGTATCGATAAGTTTACAGGTGGACTTGTCACGGTACCGCTAACTCTTTCACATCCGTCAGGTTTAGCTGATGAGGCTGCGTTAGTTGCTGGATGTCTGGGTTATAACATTCACGAGAATGATGACAACATACCATCTGTACAGCCTTATCAAGGATGGTGTCTTATGTTGCCAAAGAATTCACCATTTCGAGTCGAACACCAATGATTGAGCGATTTTGAACAATCTTGCTACGTTTTAAGACAAAATAAATAATCGCTACTCTCTACTTATTATAGACAGCAGAATGTATGAAAAAAAAACTGATGTTATTTAGTCGTTCTACCTACGTAAAATATGAAGAAATAAATTATTTTTGAAAATGAACAGGTCGAAGGAGCAGGGGGGGGAGAGGTCAACCACACACACTCCCAGGAGAAACGATTTGTTCACTACTCCCAAACTGAAGAAATTTTCCATTGTATATTTAAACAACAATGGTTAGAAGAGCCTGTTATTTCAGGTGATTGCCTCTACAGAAGCTACAAGCAATAAGACCAATAAAATTTGCTGGCGTCACTGAAAGCCTGACACGTTAAGGTTGCTCCACAATCGAGAGGAACGTAAATCCCCCGAAAGAACAGTACGCCTCTGGTAGTTAGGTCATAAACCTAGTTTTAGAACAGAACAAAGTGAGAATTGCCGAACTAAAATAGAACCCTTTGGTGCCAGTGGAAGTTACCTGACAGTTTTGACACGTCAACTCTTCATACTCTTTCTTTGTAATTTTTGTGTAGGAAATGAAATAGAATTCAATTCAGAGTGAACACAGTTTCGAATAAAAGCGTAACAGTACTGTTTTAATGGTATCTTGGTGATGACATAAATGAAAAATTTGAGTATACAAGAAGTATTTTTCAGATCATGTTTCGCTTTCAGACCTGCAAATTCACACGGTTTATCGCACTGCTTAAGTGTTTACACAGTTTCTGCTTTCTACGAAACTTTCTCGATCAAGTCAATGTTCATTACGACAAAGTTTAGGAATGGGAATATCCTGTCATATCTTTGCTCACTAATATTTCATAACACTACCTCAAATAATAAGGTCTCTTGCTTCTATATTGAATTTAGATCAAAAGCTATCTGCTTTCCACTGTCTTATCAAGTTTTTCTCTAAAATCTTCAGTTTTGTTGAGAGAAAAAATTGCGATCTTATTATTATTTTATATTAATGAAACTGTCGTCTTTTCAAGGTTCGTGGACCAAATTCCTAAATACGGACATCGCAACACGTCTATTGTCACGACAGAGTAACCAACGTTTTTTAAACAGCTTTTCTCTACAGGTTTTTCAAACAAAACTGTCTAGAAAACAAGTTGCTGTATTCAAACTAGGATCGATTTGAACAAAACACCAGAAATACAAAACAAACAATCTTTTATAAACGAATAACTTGCAGAGAAAAGTCATTCTTTATTGATCACCGAAGCCCAGAAAAGCAGTGCCATACAAGATTGAAAGAAGATAGTTCAAGAAGACAGAAGAAATTCAAGTATGTTCATCGATATCTGTGAAATCTGTAACACCTATAGACCGTTGTAATTTTTCATTTATTAATAGATTGTGCGGAGCCATCTTTGACCAAAAATGAACTTTCTCTATGTTTTGATGATTACCCTGTCAGCATCTTTGGCAAGAGCTGAGAAAATTGTTAGAGTGTGTTACTACACAAACTGGGCACAGTATCGAACAAGTCCAATGGAATACTTTCCAGAAAATATCGATGTTTCATTATGTACCCATATTATTTATGCTTTTGCAAAGATTGAAAACCATGAATTGAAAAGTATTGAATGGAACGACGATAAAATGTTTAAGAAATTCAGAGAAATTCAACAGGTGAGTTACAGTACACTAAAGGATGGCATGTGGGTAATGAACGAGGTTAGAGAGAACAATGTCTTCCCTAAATCTAATTGCTAGAATTCAAGGATAAACCAGAGACTGTCACTGAAGCCATATTCACTTAAATATTTAACCTTCCTTTTAAACGAAACAGGCTTCAATATATAGTTTGGCCATGAAATCTAGTCTTGTGAACTAAACCCAAAATCAGAACGAGTTTCAAGAAGAAAGATTGGTCACTTGTGGACTAAAAGTCCCGCAAAATATCTAGAACTATTTGCAACGATCCACCTGACAACTGTGACAAACAGTGTTAACTACCAGTTTTCAATTGTGTTCTTTGCTTTAGAGCAGACGGGGCACGAAAATCAAAAGCCGCAGATATGATTTGCCCTTCGCAAATTTTCGCATCAACACTAAATCATGCTAGTTGTTTTATATTTGTAGGCGTATCCATCACTTAAGTTATTGTTGGCAGTTGGAGGCTGGAACCACGAGGCAGGTGCCATAAGCAAATTTTCCAACATGGTAAGTACACCAGAAACAAGACTGATATTTATCGAGTCTGCAATTAAATTCCTTCGACGAATTGGCTTCGATGGTCTTGACTTGGATTGGGAATACCCAGCGCATAGAGGTAATTCTCCGCCTGAAGATAGGAGAGGTTCAGCTTACTTGTCGAAGAGCTCGTGGAAGCGTTCGCACAGGAATCGGAACTCTCCGGAAACGACCGACTATACCTTACAGCTGCAGTGGCAGCCGCCCTACTGAAAAAGTTACCAAGGCATACGAAGTGGCACGAATCAGCAAGAGCTTGGATTGGATCAATCTGATGACGTATGATTTGCATGGTAGTTGGGAGAAAATTACTGGACACCACACAGCAATGACAGGTATTGGAACATAATTCTAAGTTCTCATCATATTTTTAAAATGAATTACCATTGGCTTGAGGCAAATAAATACCCACTCTTTGATGACCTACGTATTTTCAAATGAGTGCTATAATTCCATTCACCAGATTTCCTACTATTCCCATTTCGGAAACCAGTTTATGTCGAAATATTATTCATGTTCATCTTTCAGGCGATGATAAACTGACCGTAACAGATTCAGTTCAAATATTATTCATGTTCATCTTTCAGGCGATGATAAACTGACCGTAACAGATTCAGTTCAAATATTATTCATGTTCATCTTTCAGGCGATGATAAACTGACCGTAACAGATTCAGTTTAAATATTATTCATGTTCATCTTTCAGGTGATGATAAACTGACCGTACCAGATTCAGTTAAAACTGGATAGAGAATGGAATGCCAGCCAACAAGATTGCGTTGGGAATGGGCCTCTATGGACGGGCGTTCAAACTAGTCTCAGCATCTAATCACGACATTGGTTCCGAAGCAGATGGAGTTCCCGTGAAAGGTCCGTATACAAAGAAGCAGGCTTTTGGCCTACTACGAGATTTGCTCTGACAAATCTTTGACGACCGTCGAAGAAAGCTCGGCTGGTGCATCGTACGCATACGCTGATGATGTATGGATTGGTTACGACACACCGAATAGTCTGCAAAGTAAAGTCGACTTAATCAAACAAGAAGGTAAGCATTTTACATAAACGAAAATCATTAAACCCAAAACCACACATCAGATGATTTCTACACAAGACAGTACCTGAAGATAATCTCGTAAGTTTGTCGTAAGGCTATAAGTAAGGTCAACACCATATGCACAATTATTTTGAACATTCGACTCCAACATGAACAGTAGAGAGACTTAATTAGAGATTTTAATGAGATGTAAATTATGGCAAAATAAATCGGCGATTTCGTTAGGTCTTCGAGGCGCGATGTTCTGGTCCCTCGATTTGGATGATTTCACAGGAAAATGTGGCGAGAAGAACCCATTGCTCACAAAGGTGACAAAGGAATTAGAAGGAGGGGTGTTTGTAGATTCTGAAGAGAAACCTACAGAGATCACTACAGACACGCCACCAAATGAAACATCAACTCCGAGTGAGGCAGTTGATACGACGCCTGTTGCCATATCACCCGAGGGGTCAAAAATAAAACCCGGATCGTGTAAAGCGGTGGGGAGGGCAGGTGATGACGCAATGGATGAATGGTGCAACAATAACTGCATCAGAGGATATTGTCCTAAAACTCGTTGTGTTTGTGAGCATGTCGATGGATTAAACACCATAAACAACTTTCATCGTAAAGTTATCAATGCCGGATCAATTCAGAGTGAAGATGGACACAATGAAATCGCTCAAAATGACGTGTCCAATGACCAGTTGCACAACCTACTAAAGGAGAGTCTACGAGTGAAATTCAGAGAGCACGAAGGTCTTAGATTGAATAATGAAGAACAAGATACACACGAGGCTGAACACGTTGTTTTAAACAAAGGACAGCCAAAGAACGGAAGTAATACATACAACGATGGTGAGGCAAAGAACGGAAGTAATACATTCAATCAAAAGATGAAGGGGAAATGTCGAGAGAGTAAGTCCTGGGTCTTGCGAAGCAGCCCAACCCTGGAGCAAATATGCTGAATTCATCAAAAAATGGTGTAACGATAATTGTATTCATGGTCTCTGTCCACCATCTCGTTGCATATGTCAAAAAATCAACGAAAGCGATGATTACAGGCCTGTGAAGAAGAATGTTCTGAATTTATGAGTTTAACATCGAAATCACCCTTATGGACGCAAGCCACGTAGTCTGTGGATGTTTGAACAATATACTGAACATTTTACCATTTATCGTCACAGTAATTGTTTGCTTCATATACTTCATGTTTAAGAAATTAAATATGTGTATTGTGTTTGCACAATTACTTCATGTTTTAGAAATAAAAGATGTTTACTGTGTTTGTACTAATACTTCATGTTTTAGAAATAAAAGATGTGTATTGTGTTTGGACCAAAATTGATTTCGTTGATTGAGCTCATATCGATTTGCTAGTAATGACAGGCTGATATGCAAACTCAGGTGTAGACCAATCTAGTGAAATAAAATGACTTTATAAAAATACCTGTTGTCCCCAAGAATTCCATGATAAAATTCATCAGAAAATAGACACCTCAAGTTTAATTGACACATCTTTATTTCTGATCTCAGAAAATTATTATTAATGCAAATTTTACCATAGATACACAATTCAATCATAAAATGCACAATTTGTTATAACTCGTGTGTATGCTAGTGCGAAATTGATGCTGACTTTCATGAAATACTATATATGATGATAAAAGAAGGTTATGGTAAATACAATGTTTTAAAATTAGAGAGTTTATAAGTATGACTTCCTATAACAATACCAATACAAATTCCAAAATATGTGATGCGTTTTGCTTACAAAAAACGAGTATTGGATGTTGCCACTACCGAGAGCAGGTAGTCTTTAGAGGTCGCTATGCATAAGTTTTCAATGTGAATAAAGTCTTGGGAAAAAGTCCCATTTGACTAGTTTTAGCGTTATTGATAACTGGCAATTTCTTCTTCGCAACAACTATCACTATCAAATACTAGTCATACTAAAGATTCTTCAGTCTTCGTCTCTATAATTGAACACTATAAAAGTTCCCGCAACGAAAATATTAACGAACGTGCGACAGAGGTATTGGTATTGTTATCCAAAGTCCAACTATATCATCATAGTCATAGACGTTACACTAGTGCTACATGTCTATTGAAACTAAACAAAAATGAAATTTGAATTATTGCCAGAACTTCGAAACAAATTCTTTTGATTACATTCGGCGGTAAGAACCAAGATGGCTTCTGCAGTTTGGACAATGATGTGTCACGTCCTTACAGCCGTCAACACAGAACGGAATAAGACAACACGGCCAGCAACTACAGCAGGATTAGAAAAAGATAAGCATCGTTCCCCAAAAAACAATTCTTAATACTTAATAAATAGAAATCATTTCGTGCCATATTCCTCCAATTTTACAAAACGTAATGTTGCTAACTTTCTTGGGAAAGTCATATTTTTTCAATTAGGGGATTTTTACCTACAACTATTATTTTGCAACTGTATTTATAGCCCAAATGAATTGACCAATCAAAACGACTCAATAAGTGTTCTAAGTATGACGTTCAATAAAAAGCTTGAATGTTTTTAAATTTATCTTTCAAAATTCTTTTCTCTTTTTATTACTTACAACCATGAAAGTTAGTGACGCGACGACAATACAAGTTGAAAGTATTTAATGTTTCATATAATGGAACAAAATACAAAGAATATTACTGAACAGCTTACCCAATGAAACACAGAATGGCAGCCATTAGCCACACAAATGAGCCATCTTGATACACAGTTGATGTAACTATTTGGGCCTGGCAACGAGGGCACACCATGCTAACTGGTGCCTCACCAAACATCATTCCAGTTACGACTACAGGCCCTGGTTGTGTTGCCACAATTGTGGTTGTGTTTATATTGGACATTTGCTGCTGCAGAGGTACAGCTTGGTAGCCTGGTTGAGTATGATAGCCTGGTTGAGCAGGATAGCCTGGTTGAGCAGGATAGCCTGATTGAGCAGGATGGCCTGGTTGAGCATGGTAGCCTGGTTGTTGGGAGTAACCTTGTGGAGGAGGATATTGACCGCTTTGGGGTGGAAAAGCCTGTTTTGCATCTCCTATGTACGATATGCAATATATTTTTGTACAGCTTTACAACAAGCATCCATTAACACAATATAAAATTAATCATAGGCATACGGGGCAAGGCTCGGTTGAGGTTGGGTGAGGCTGTTTGCCTGAAAAAAATTCAACCCGCATTTTCTCAAGTGAAGCAGTCATCAAGTTCTTTCAATGAAAATCTCATTGTCAGATTATTTGTCAGAGATATTATTGCCAAAAATGAACAGTTCAACTAATTTGATTAATTTGCCACGGAAAACGAAGCTCGTCAGTTTACACTTCTCATGAGTTTTTGAGTTGAGAGCAGAATAGAGGTCTTGCAAGTAATTTCGACAAGCGCAAGGAATTTCGCAAAAAATAGGTACGTAACGCCTACACGTGGGTAGCCTAGCCAATACATGGCCACAAAATGAAGTAATGCCTACACGTGGGTAGCCTAGCCAATACATGGCCACAAAATGAAGTAACGCCTACATGTGGGTAGCCTAGCCAATACATGGCCACAAAATGAAGTAACGCCTACGTGGGTAGCCTAGCCAATACATGGCCACAAAATGAAGTAACGCCTACACGTGGGTAGCCTAGCCAATACATGGCCACAAAATGAAGTAACGCCTACATGTGGGTAGCCTAGCCAATACATGGCCACAAAATGAAGTAATGCCTACACGTGGGTAGCCTAGCCAATACATGGCCACAAAATGAAGCTACACGTGGGTAGCCTAGCCAATACATGGCCACAAAATGAAGTAATGCCTACACGTGGGTAGCCTGGCCAATACATGGCCACAAAATGAAGCAATGCCTACACGTGGGTAGCCTAGCCAATACATGGCCACAAAATGAAGTAACGCCTACATGTGGGTAGCCTGGCCAATACATGGCCACAAAATGAAGTAATGCCTACATGGGTAGCCTAGCCAATACATGGCCACAAAATGAAGTAATGCCTACATGTGGGTAGCCTAGCCAATACATGGCCACAAAATGAAGTAACGCCTACATGGCCAACAAAATGAAGTAGACGGTTGAACGTTGATCAATATCATATAAATATATTTGTACATTATTTATACAAATTTCTACGGATTGCGAATAAAATTTTATCAAGATTTGATTTTTCCTATATATGAAAGAAGGCTTGAAGCACCAAGTCAAATGCAGCAATGACCAGTGCAGTCCGAAAAAAATTTGTTCTAAAAATTCTGTGCCGACTTTCAACTGCTTGATCTTTGAAAACGTGAAGGCTTTGCTAGTAACAATTTGAACGTGCCACATTGCAAATATTTCATTGCATTTCCTGCTTGTGGTTGAAAATATCAGCAAATTCACACGAAGAATATTTGTAATTCATACATGAATTGTTGAAAAAAGCAATTCCTTCGATTTTTGTCTTCCATTCAACTCAACAACAAAGTATTGTGACTATAGTGAGCTGAACAGATAAACATCGCAAATAAATACTTAAGTAGACTAAATCATCATCATCATCATCACATATCTTGTTGTCGCGCCAGGGCGATCCAAACTCGGGCTGGAAGTTCGGAAGTGTGGCGCGTGTTGTAGCAATCAGTCGAAATCAGGGACGGCACGTGAAGCCTTGCTACTTGTCCCCCGCCAAATTTCCCTCACATGGCTTTGGTCAACCCGAACTAGGTTTACTGACACATTGCCAAATGTACTAAATCAGGGTCATCTATTGTTTTCTACAGATTATAACATGCATATATGAATTTGAGCCAACCAAATAATCAATTGTCCTTCGGCTATGGACTAAATATAAGTACATTACATGAAGTTTCTTGCTTCCTTCGCATAAATGACATATTATTGATGATTGTGATTGCCTACTGAGTGTGAATTTTATAGCTAAGACTACACATATATCTTATTTGTGTGAAAGTTTTGTAAAGAGTACGATAATTAGTTCATTCAACTAATACAAATCATGTTTACTTTAGTGTGGATAAATGACAACAGATAATGTCATTTAAGTCAGCATTTGGGCTCTGTTATTTTGTTGTTACGTCTATGATGTATGGTAATGCTTTGAGACTTGTAAAAAATACATTAATTTGCTTATTCCTTTATATTCTACTCACAAAAGCACTGTGATTATAGGGCACATAAATTGAACATAAATGCAAGTACATCCAGGCCACAAGTGTTTTGCTGTTTGAGATGATATGCAAAACTACAATTTGCACAAGTCGAGCTGTTAAGTTTACACAGGCACTCAAGCGAAACAATTTTCGTTTTTCGAAAATACATAGTTTACGTTACATCCAGTTCAGACATCAAGATCAATGATATGAAAGTTGGTAGTTCTTTCCTACCTAGTTATATTGCCATATAATAATTAACAAATAGATAACATTTAACTGTTGTCTATACAGTTATAGATACACGGGTAAGACGTCATTTGTGATAAAAACTAAAAAAGTGACCACGAGCCACCGGGGCGAGTTATACAATAAAATCAAAAAAATTCTCAAATTAAATGGTCAAACAGTTTGTTTCCCTTGCACCCAACACTTGGAACATTAAAAAGTCTAGATTTCGCAAATATCAGGCTTACGTGATCTATAGAATTGAAGAGATGCTATTGGCTAGCTTAAATCACGTGATAAAATGTGATTGGCTAACAAAATAAACAAGCAATGGCTGATCAATTTTGTTGAAATTTTGTTATCAAAGACGAAGTACAAATTAATGTTTGAAAACCGGGGTTTTTTCTTTTCTTTTTGCTCAAATACGTTGCCTCAACTAGGTCTTTGTGAATATCTTTATTTTCCCATTCAGGGAGGCATTGCGATAAATTTTCAAACATATCCGCCATTTGTTTGTTTTTATAAACAAGAAATTTTCTGTGACCTCATTCCCTGCATATGTCCGCCAATGAAATTGCTCAAATTCTTCTGGTTGTTATATAATACGCAATAGTGGTTAGCCAGTAGCTACAGTTAACTATATGTGTGGATGAGCTACCTTCAATAAGTATTTCCAAATTCACAAAGTGAAATAATAATCCCGACCTTCCCAAAGCCTTCCAACAATAATCAGGCTAGGTTGTGATTAGAAATAAGATTTGGGTCAGCGTCAAGCATACAGGAAAATAAGTATTTGGTGGCGTAATCTCAAACTATTCCCCCAACCCAAGACTAACATTTAGGTAACTAAATACATAAGTGTTTCGCCGAAGTCAAAATTATCATCGCTCGTTTGTTGCTAAGCCGACAAAAATTAAAGCGAAACAAAAAAGTTTCTTCGGACATCACGCGGACGGCAACTTGAATATGCTTGGCATCCTAGAGTTTTTTTGTCACGATTATTCATTAAGTCAATGAAAACGTGCCGAAAGAATTCAAAGGACAACACAAAATTGTTAAAGACATAATGTCAAGCGAAGGAAACATATGCTAATGCCAGAAATGACACTTCAACGAAAGCATTTATTTCTTATGTTCACAAATACAAACGCAAGATGGATAATACTACAGTACCTGGATACGCTGGAGGATTTTCAGGCGGTTGTTGACTGTATGGCGGAGGTTGAGCCATGACTTTCCAATAAATTCAACGTAACAAACAAGAAATATTCAACGCAGATTGTATTTCCTTGTCGTGTTGCCGTAAAATAAATTTCGTAGCTATCCCAAGTTCCTTGCGAGTCGTACATAATAATTTATTGATTAATTGTAAGAATATCCCATTCCCATCGTCACTCCATTTTCAAGGTAGTGTGTACTAAGTAGAGTAAACTTGGAACAGAGCAGCTGTTATAGTAAAATTCAATATTTTATACTAGCGATCCATCCGCGACATCAACCTCTGGTTACGAATTACAATGTCATTCAGAGAATGACGGCATTCGGAAATTGTTTGCGAAAAAATGGAAGAAAGATGCTTGTTTTGTTCACATACTTTTACGCATGCGTGGTTTGGGGCAAGAACAATTATTCACGAATCATATGAATGCGCCGGAACTCTCTCTTATGTTGTTGAATAAAATGAAAAGAATAATACGTACTCTTTCAATTGGCAATTGCATTCCCTTTTGCTCTATGGAGTCTTTATTCCAACGCGAATATGTTTTCTCCGTGAAAACTGAAAGGCATCCATACTAATTTGGCTGTGTGAGCATCAACGTCATTCATAAAACAATTTAAGAGCTGAAGCTCTTTTACGACGAATTCCCAAACTCCATAACAATAAAATCTTTCTCTTTCACCGTTAACAACTTCCGATTGTCACCCTACGTGATATCAGTATTGCGCACATAGATTTTACTACCTGTTAGGCCTCTAGAAAGAGACAGTGAACATCATTTCACTCAAAGAAGGGAATTTTTACTCTCTCAGGATCTTTTTTCATCATGGATACTGCTAAGGATGGTAACTTAGGTGCTCCACCGGCGTACGACGCAAATGGCCAATCTTCCAACCAAACTGGAGGTTTGTGTAAAAATGTTTTTATCTCTAGTTAATGTCATGATTGTCTTCAGGATAAACTTCACGACGACACGAAAGAAAATAATTCCGATTTAACCGTTGATGATATTATAATCAATATATTGTAGTGTTGTTTTGTAAAAATTACAGTAAAAAGAACCACATAATATTTTTGTATGTATGCATTCTATTGCGTCATGTGTTGGAGTCAGTTGATCATTTATCAGTTAGATTTGTAAGTACAGCTTATAAGAATGTACTACTGTACTATACGATCACAATTACTTCTTTATCAATTTTTTATATATTCATTATATCTGCACATTCATCAGAAACACAGGCACCACATGTATCACAGCCTCAGGCAGCCTATCCAGCACAACCTCAGGCAGCCTATCCTGCGCAACCGCAGGCAGCCTATCCAGCACAACCTCAGGCTGCCTATCCAGCACAACCTCAGGCAGCCTATCCTAAACAACCCGAAGGAGCCTATCCTACACAACCTGAAGGAGCTTATCCTGTACAACCTAACCACCCTCCTCCATACACACTCAATGAAACACAGAATATGACCACCACCACAATTGTTGGTCAACCTACAACAATTTTGGCACCATTAACATTTGGTCCAGTACCATTGGCTATGGTCTGTCCACATTGCAATGCACAGATCGTGACAACTGTAAGTCGTGATACAGGATTACTTCCTTGGTTGGTCTGTTGTGGACTTTGTGTAGCTGGGTAAGTCAACTAAGGTTCACTCATGAATTGACTTTAGTTTTAAACTTGAAATTGATTCAGGTTTTGCCTATTATCAAGACAAAAATAATAGAATTGTCTATCATATTTTTTCCCTTCATTAGCTGTTGGTATGGTTGCTGTTTGATACCATTTTGCATAGAGGACTTGCAAGATTGCAAACACACATGTCCAAACTGTCAGAAATGCCTTGGAGTATATAAACGTTTATAGGAATCAATTTCTTACTTAAATATTAGTCAAAACACTTGGTAGTAAGCACGTCAATTGTATTAAATGTAAAGTTTGTAATATCACATAATTCAACTCAAAGCCATTATTAATAATGAAAATTGTTGTAAAAGGGTACTTGGCACAATAACTTTATAAAAACATAAATGTGATTTCTCATACAAAGCATATCAAACAAAATTGTTAAAATCGGCAAAAAATAACATTGTTGTAGATTGTGATTTCTCTTTATTGCTTTGTAAACATAATACGCTCATAGAAGTTAAGCATTAGGTTGAACGTTTAGACTTGAAATATTCCATCAATACATCATGAGCATGCGTTTCTTTACCATAATCCTACACAAAAATACACTGTTTCAGGAAATATGTTTTAAAATTTAGACATTAGGAAAGAGTGACGCAGTTATTAAAACACAAATATTGTATCAACCAACCTTGACTACAACACAACTGCAGCCAACAACCTTCCTGGCTTTTCCCTCTTTATCAATTTTACACAGGCCAGCCCATTCACCTAGTTTTTTCCCATCATCAACCTTAATCAAGTTGATTTGATGTTCGGCACAAAGTGCTTCAACCAACTTAACATAAGTTCCCTCGTCACAATTTTGAGCCAGTACGCACAAGTGAGCTTGTCGCCTGAAATTTGCAAAGTTTTTGCAAACAAACAATTTGATTATATAACTTATTTAAGTTGCCTAGCATATTCAATATACGATATGCTGGAACAATTGAACAAAATTTATGTAACTTATCCTAAATTTTAGGCATGCAATGTGATTTTTATGCACCAATTAGAAAATAAATAGAAAAGCCGGTTAATCAGGCATTTTAAGACAACTAGTCAAAAATAATTAAGCCATAAATGTTTTTACATCTGTCACTTTCTTCTACTCCTTGGTTGACAAAAAAACTGCGCATTAAAACCATTAATGCTGAACAGAACATAATACAAAGAATGAAAATAGCCTGAATTCCTTAGTTATAAGGCATGAAGCAAATAGTATTGTCTTTATTGCTACTTTCTGCTGGCAAAGTGTCCCAAACAAGGTGTTCAGTTCTTTGGCAAAAAAACAAAACTGTTGAAACATGAAGATTAGCACAACATAAACAAGCTAACATTATTAACACAGCACAACTCAAATTTTATCAGTAATTTGTCAAATGCTCATATATTTGTAACCTAACACTTGAAGATGCTACAACAGATACAATTCAAGTTATTCAAACTGGACGCTGAATAAGAACAATGTCAATCGAAATGAACAAGAACCTCAAAAAGGAGGAAGAAACAAAACAAACAAAGTAGTCAATACATTGTTCCAAACTGTTAAAAAGCAAGAACATGGTAAAAATCGACTTATGCCAGTTAATTGACCAAATAAATAAATTAATCGGCTATTTCAATAATCTGCACATATCTAATTTAGTATCACCAAATAAAAAGCCAAAACTAAAAAAGCTGTAAATAAAACTAACTTATCTAAAGCTTTGCAAGCTTCATGTAATCCTCTGGCCAAACCATCGTGACACAAAGCCGTTTTCAATACTTCTTTTAAGGCATCATTTACTGGCATTAAACCACTGGCTGGTATATCATCTCTGCCATAATAAAATAAAATTCACAAAAACCACATTAATACAAAGTGCTATATCTTGAAAATAATGTATCTTCTTTAATAATTATCCACTGGTTTAAGGCATTTTAGCATACACTTTATGTTGCAAACCTGCAGAAACAAGCCATAGGCACAGGACAGAAAGTCAAGCAAGTTAAACTTTGAATAAGTTATTAGCTTAGATTCTATTTCAAGTTTTCGAAAGCCTGACCTGACCATAAACGTAACACTAACCGTAAAGGTAACTTTTATAACATTGCTTTTTCACTCATTTAAGAAAAACACTGCAAGAACAGAGAGTGTTCTTGTTGTTTGTAATTTTCCCCCCTATGTACTGCTATGTGATTCACAGTCTTCATGGTCACAGCTAAATGGGTACTGCCTTGTGTCTAGTAAACTGAATTCTAGACTTATCTTCCTCAGAATAATAATCGATTCCGGTTACGCTTTTTTCATCAATCAAACTCAGCAGAGGGAGCGGATTTATCATCATTGGAAGATAAAATAAAACTCGGGGGGAGGGGCACCAAGTGACATGAATTATATTAATGAAGTTTTGTTCGCATACTTGATGCTGTGTTATAACAAAACAAAGTATCATGGTAAATTCCTTATTTCATAAATGTTTATCATAGTATCTAAAGTGGGCACAAGGTTTTTTCGTTCTTACATCTTAATACTTGAATATCAGAAGATAGAAACTCAGTACATACCCTTCCGCGTCAGACATGGTTTTCTTGCGGAACTCCTTACTATTTTAATAAATAAAGGATAAAAGGAATGTAATGAGACATTACTCGATAATTGAAAGGCACAAACATTATCGATGCATAAAATGAAACGTTGTATTTCGATGGATTCTACTAACATGATACACGTTTGTTGAAGTTCGTACGAAAAAAGAACGGAGGAGGAGAAGCATGGAAACTAGAATACAAAATGAGTCATCAGTCAAACTGTCCAGCTGACATTTGAAAACAGATGAATACGTCATGTACAGATTAAGGTTGAACTTCTGAAGATCTGAACTACCCGAACATCAAGCAAAGTACAGATGAACACAAAATGTGAAAAAAAGTATAAAATGAATTCTATTTATGCAAAAATAAATTTAAAACGCATTTCTAGATATGTCAATTAATGTTCAACACACATTTATGACCAAATGTAAACCTATGCAGGTTTCACCTTGATATTTTCGTCCACAATTTACTAATAAAATACAAAGCAGCCTGATTCTGAGTTAGAACTTGGATTTGGATGGCCAAAAATGAAATACTGGGCAGATCAAGAGTGCCCGCATTGTGATTGATTGAAAAGAGTTTCGGTATCGCAACAACACGAGATACAAGATAGTTCCTTCGAGGACCTGAATAAAGATCCAATTGTTTCATTGGTTTGTACTTCCAGCGACAAAGAAAACCTCTTACATTTGCACGTTGGTGGACAGCGACAACTGACGTCTTCAACTTCAACTGCCTTGTCATAAGATTCATCAATGCTACTTTTAAGAAGTGCAGCACTCGTTAATGCATCGTGTTGTTTTTCTTTTTCGTTTCCATCAGCTCCGACTAAACTGTCATCGAAAATCTTACGCCGACTTTCACCAAAAACATTATCACCTTTGCACGATATTCTTCCACACTTGGCCTCTTTTTCTTGAACTTTTTTAGCTTCAGCACTCTCCTTGCCGCTTTTATCGCATTTACTTTCAGAAGCCACTTTTTTCACCTTACCTTTTTTGCAAGGTAGATGTTTGGTATAACAAACCTTTTGGTTGAACTGTCTACCGCATTCGTCACAACGGAAGGGCTTAACGTCAGCGTGGGTTATCATGTGAATCTTCAGAGCGTCGGGTCTTTTAAAAGTCTTGCTGCAAATCTGTGAAAGAAAGAAAGCTTTTAAGATGTGATAACAAAGCGTGGTGAAACATACAATCATCAGTAGAGTAGCTGCACGTCCTAAAAGCTAGCTTAAAATAGTGATTTCACGAGATAGAAGTTGCCTGATGTTGCACTAGATCTTGCTTATAACAATTTATTGACGATCGCGGCATTTTAATAAAACAGAAAATATTATTTTAATTTCTTAAGAGGTCAGTTGATTGGGTGACAGTCAGTTTCGTGCTAGGCCCTCGACATAAATTGGAGAACTATGACAGTTCAAGTTCAACAGGGAAGCGAATTAAACTGTTGTATATTACAATAATGCATTCTCTCTAAATGGTGTAGCCAGTCTTCAAGTACTGTCGTACGATGTAATTTTCAGATCTTCAGCATTATTTGTTTCTTTCAAAATATGTTTTTACTGTCAGTGAGCATGGCGATTTCTACATAAAAATACGAAACTTACAGCCTGCTATGTTACTACTTAGTTCTACATGTATGTTGTGTCAGCAAGTCACATGTCTTCAGTTGTGTTCCCTTCCGCAATAATGATTGTAAATCCTTAAAGTAAAATTTTAAAAAACTAACCTCGCATTTAAAATTCCTTTGTTTAGTATGTGTGTACTGCGAGTGGCGTTTTAGAACGCTCATTCTCGTGAAACCAAGTCCGCAATCGGGACAGAAAAACTTTTTCTTGTGCGCTCGAGTTGCATGTTTCCTACACTGGGAAAAGTGGGAAATTCAACGCCACATTGAAGGCATGTATAAGGCGGACTGTGGTTCCTTTCGTTGTGAGCTGCCAATTTTTCTATAAACAAAACAACATAATTTAGAGAGAGTTATGGTAGAGGAGTGGGTCGCCTATTTCAGGAGAAATGTGATTACCACTAACCTATCTTTCTCGTGGGGTGGGAGGTGGGTGGTAGGGAAATCAAGGGGAGGGAGTGTACCATCTATGATGTTGCCGATGAACACGCGACCGTAGATTGTTGTTTTGATAAACATTTTTATTTCGTCTATAGGTCAGGTGATTCAGTTTAAACTTATCTAAGTTTACGTAATAATGAATCTTTAGGGCCTGATTATATGGAGACGAGCTGGCCCGAAAAGAAATTAGCCAGGAATAGCAGAATATATGAATATGGTCCCGTTCAATTAACGTACGATTGACGTCAGTATTTAACATTGAAAAAATTTTACAGTAGTTTAATATTTAATGACGACATAAGGTCTACCTACCCACATCTCACTATTTACAGACGGACACAAAAAGATGTGGGGTTACAAATTTTCTTCGTCAACATCTTCTCACCACAAACACTTTCTCTTCAACAACACCTTCTCTTCACCAACATTTTCTCTTTACCAACATCTTCTCTTCACCAACACCTTCTCTTCACCAACACCTTCTCTTCAACAACACCTTCTCTTCACCAACATTTTCTCTTTACCAACATCTTCTCTTCACCAACACCTTCTCTTCACCAACACCTTCTCTTCACCAACACCTTCTCTTCACCAACACCTTCT